ATATGTCCCAGTCCAAACTCTATTTGGAACATCACCATCCAAGGCAGCTGCTGGAGAAAGACTAATCAAATCGACTGTGGTTCTCATGGCCTCCCCCCAAAAGGACTTAGAAAGCTTTACGTGAGAGAGCATGCACTTGATTCTTTCTTCAATTATTCTGTTCATTCTCTCCTCTACACCATTAAGCTAAGGTGTCTTAGCTGGAGTATTCTCAAGCCTAATTCCATAGAGTTTGCAGTAATTCTCAAACGGTCCCTTGTACTCACCACCATTATCAGCGCGAACTGATTTCAACTGTTTTTCTATTTCTCTTTCAATCTTGGCATGAAATTCTTTAAAGACATCAAGCACCTGGTCTTTAGTTTTCAAAGCAGTAGCCCAAACCTTTCTTGAATGGTCATCGATGAAAGTCACAAAGTAGAATGCACCTCCAAGAGGTTTTGCTTGCATAGAACAGACATTAGTATGAATCAAATCAAGAATATTTAATCTTCTAGATGGAGGGTGTGAATGAAATGCAACTCTATGTGTTTTTCCAGCTAAACAATCAACACAAGTTTTAAGAGGCATACCTTGCAAACTAGGCAGGAATTACTTTCTAGCAATAAGTTGTAATCCTTTTTCACTGACGTGGCCAAGCCTCTTGTGCCATAGATCAATGCTTGCACCCTTCTGAACAACATTTATCTCTCCTTTGTGAAGCTTAGCTTGCATGACATAGAGTGTATTCATTTTCTTTCCTCTTGCAACCACTAGAGAACCTTTGGTGAGCTTCCACTTACTTTCACCAAAATATCTAGTAAAACCCTCATCATCAAGTCTGCCAGTGGAGATCAAGTTTAGGCGAATATCCGGAACATGCCTAACATCCTTGAGTACCAACTTACTTCCAAGATTAGTTTCCAAGTAAATATCTCCAACGCCCACAATTTTAGAGGCACCACTGTTTCCCATTTTGACATTGCCAAAATCACTGGTAAAGTAAGAAGTGAAGAAATCACTATGAGGAGTAACATGAAATGAGGCGCCAAAATTAATCACCTAATCACTTTCCTGGCACACAAGACTAACACAACTGTCATCACAAATGATGGTAACATCACCTTCGACGGCTACTGTATTAGTCTCTTTCTCATCTTTATTTCCTTCACCATGTTCTCTTTTCCAAATTATGCATTCTTTCTTCATGTGACCCATCTTGTTGCAGTGATAACACGTGACATTTTTCTTATTTTTAGATTTTTCCCCGAATGTATCCTTTTTTCCCCTGAGGATGCCTACTTTTACTTCTTCCACGCCTTTCTTGTTTTGAAGAAACAAGTACCTCAGAAGAAGATTCACCATTTTCCTTTCTTCTGGCTTTTTCACTTAACAAACTTTCTTTAACCATCTTCATGGTTAGCTTTCCTCCAAGCGCTGAAGTGCTTAGTGATACCACTAACGCTTCCTAACTGTCAGGCAAAGAGCTAAGAAGTAACAATGCCTGCAACTCATCTTCAAGAGGCATTTTCATTGCGGCCAATTAGTTCACCAAGCCTTGAAAATCACTAGTATGCTCAGTCATACTTTTCCATCTTTGTACTTCAAGTTCACAAGTCTTCTAATGATCGAGGCTTTATTTCTGGAGGTATTTTTCTCATACATAACCTTTAATTTCTTCCAAAGTGCATTGGCTTTCATTTCTTCAGAAATGTGATTAAAAATATTAACATCAACCCATTGCCTAATTGTAGTAGCAGCTTTCATGTGTAATGTTTCCCAATCATCATCACTTATTTTTTCTCGCTTTGACTTGCCCATAACAGGCCCAAACAAATCTTTAACAATAAGCAAATCTTTGATTTTGCGCTTCCAAATGGAATAATTCGATGAGGTTAATTTTATCATCTCATACGAATTTTGTTCTTCCATTTCAACACACAAGAATTAGCCTCTAGCCAACCAAAGTCTCTGATACCAGTTTGTTGGGAAAACTAATACTAACAATTGTGGAATAAAACTTTTCCTCTTTGTGTGCTAAAATAGGATCTCAAACAAAATGCCAACAAAGCCAAACAACCAATGCACCAATTAATTAAAATAATTAACCACAAATGAAACACTAATTTTTAGCGTGGAAAACCTCTCAAATTAAAAGTAAAACCCACGGAACCCTTATGCCACTTAAATTTCTTCCACTATATTAACAATGGGATTACAAAGTTTCTCTCTAGAATCAAACTAGAGGCTCACAACAATAATATCATCAAGAAACACTATCCTTGGTTCACCAACAATATAGACATCATCATCAAAGATGGATAATAACAATAACACCAAAGAAAAGCTTAGATCTCACCAAAGTAGGAGTACTCAAGAGAGTACTAAAGAAAGGCTAAATGAGAAATCAAGTCCGGTAGATTGGAAGAGCTCGCCACAAGGATTCTCCATGTCAAATTTGAGCCGAAACCGACAACGTTTCGCCACCCAATCGTCTTGCACAAGCACCAAAACCCTACCCCTTTTCTCTTTCTCTCTCTCCTTTTCTTCCCTTCTCTTTCTCTGGTTTTCACGGCTGCCCACTGCTATCCCAATTCTCCTTCTTCTTTTCTTTTCTATTTTTCTGGTTTGCTGCCCACGTGAGTAGCATGCCTTTCATTCATTTTTTGTTGTTGTTGGTATTTGGGCTTAAAGCCCACTATTTGTTCCAGCCCACAAATGGGGCGGAACCCAATAATTCCTCTATCGTTTATGCCAAAATACATGATGTTCTCATGTTAGTTTGTCCTTTTATATGAAAACTGACATGTCATCTTGCTTCATAGAGCCATTAATTTGTTGTTCAATTTTAGAAAACAACCCGATTGGTGTAGTTTTTCATAATAAAAAACACTACATGACTCAATGACATTTGATCTATTAGGTTTTTTTTGGGGTCACATTTCATTTGTAGTTTGAAGTTTCTTTTTTCTATTATTTTTCTAACAAACGAAGTCTTAATGTCGTTAGGGCCAAAAAAGGCATAAAAAAAGCGTTCATATATAAGGGATTGAGCTTCTAAAATCAACTTCTTAAGTGATGTTGTCTTTTGAGTAAAAAGGCGTTATATATAAGGGATTGATTTTTAAAAGATCAACCTGTTAAGTGGAGTAATCTAATACCTTTATATGCATGTGGATATGTTTATGTTTAGACGATATGAGATTATCTTAACATATTGTGTGTCTATAGTTAAAAAGTTAAAACGCTATGTTGTTTTTGATCGTTTATTCCAAAAGATATGTGTCGTTTCTCATCTTGAATTGGTTGTCATGTTTAGTAACAATTGCGTGTGTGTAAATTTTTCTTAGAAAACGACTACGCTCTTTCGTCTTAATTCAAATGTCCTTTTCTATGCATAAGAATTAGAATTGCATGTCGGTTATGCATTAATATTTTGCCCGCTTTATCCCCGTTTCTAGAAAAAGTGTGCGTGTGTTTTTGTTTGTTTGAGGGAGAGGGGGGAAAAAAACTTTGTACTTTTGAGATACTAAGAGAAACAAATTGGAAAAGGGAAGATAAAGTAAAAAGAAATAAAACTCTTTGGAGAATGGAGATGTAGAAGCAAAGCTAAATGATGATAAATGTAAGAAGGAACATAAATGAAAATTGTAGATGATCAAGGAATTTTTTTCGTCTAAGGAAGCTTTCACATTCAATTCCAATATTTGACTTTAAAAAAAAATCGCTATCTTTTTTTTTTTTTTTTGGTTGCTTGGTAGAAAAAACCACTTTGATGACCTTACCACGACTTGAATGTTTAACCTTTTATAATATACTAATTATTATAAATATCAGTTGAAAATTCCTCTAAAAAAAATCTATTATACTAGTTTTTACTCATTTTATTTTACTTTATTTGCTAATGACTGGTTCATAGAAAAGTGATGAGGTAAATAATATGTCGCAAAATTTAATTTATTTTCCATAAGGTCATAAACTCATAATTATCCTTCAAAATCATTATCATCCCTTATAATTTTTTTTCTTTTTCTTTTAGAAAAACTTATGTTTTCTTAGCGATTATTTATTATATTTTTTTTTCCTGAGATTCTTCTATAGGGTGTTGCTACTACTTATCTTTATACTTACCTTTTTTTCCCTTGACTACTACGCTGTCCGTACACCTTTAGAGTATATATGAATGAACTTGATCAGTTTTATTTTTTTTTTCTTCGACGAATCATTTGATAACTGTTGGATTATGAATACAAATACAAATATTTAAAAGAAAAATAGTGTTAAATTTCTACCTGATATTAGGTAACAAATTATTGTAGAAAAAATAATTATAATAATAATATGAACTTTGACTTCTGATGAATATGGTCGCATTAGGTGTTCGTTGCTTGGCGGCAGTTTGTACGCAAAAAGCGGGTTTGGTAAGTTAGATAGATAGATAAATGCTAATAATATTATTAAAAGATAAATGCTAATAATATTATTAAAATAGGATAGGATTCAGCAGTCAAAGTAACCTTAGAAGATACGTGTCAATTTTCAACTATGAAAAAAAAAATTATTTTATAGTAAGTAAAACTTTTTATCTTTTTTCCTCAAGCATGTTATAAACATGAGCTTTGTCCTCTTGTTTTCTCGTGGGGTAATCAACTTCTTATTTAAGTTATTAATTAAACTCACTTTTTTAACTCTAAACTTGAATTTGAAATCGCTTAAACGAACGCACTCCTAAATGAGACTTCTTTTTTCCCCTTCTAATCCTATTAAATTTCACTAAAATTTGTGAACTGCCTGAGAATCTTCATGGGAAATTTTTAAGATATAAAAAATTTGTTGGTGGGCATGTCAAATTCAGGCAAAAAAATAAAAAATAAAAAAATAAAATCCACGGAATAGTCATGGCATGCTCCACTATCATATAGTTCTAAGAATATAAATATAAAGTTCTTTTTAATACTGTATACTGCATCATCATTCAACCAACATTTGGAAGTGTACAAATATAATAAGGAGAAGAGGCTGATTAAGATATTTGAAGTGGTTTGTTTTTGAAGGTGTCTGATTAAAGAGTCAAAATTATGATTAACAGGTTTTCAGCTAGAATTATGATTAAGAAAGTTGATTCAACAAAGAAACTTGACAACAAGAAGGTGTTGTCTGCAATCTTAAGGGACAACCAAAACCAAGGATGGATCAGCTATTATCTCAGAACAGGAGCCAAATTATTTGCGGAAGTTCTTGTTTATTCAGACTTAATAGGTTCTTCCAAATCTTTTTTTTTTTTTTTAGTTTTTTATTTAGTTTTTAATTGGTTTGATTTTTGTAAGAGTCTGAGTAATCCTTATTCATCTTCGTTTTTTTTTTTTTTTTTTTCCTGCAGATATAAAAGACCATCCAAAAGGGTTTCAAATGAATCAAAAGACTATTTTAAAGGGCTCGATTTCGCGAAGAAATTCAGTAAGAAAAATTGCAAAGAAGGTGGCTAAGCAGTGTTCATCAATTATGGTGGTGACTATGGAAAGAAGAAAAGGCTCTCTAAGGCAACTTAAGCTAGAAAGTTTGTCTCAATTTTATTTGCTTTATGAGTTCCAACCTAAATACTCACGTCAAATTCCAAAGTTTCTTAAGCTTGGAGAAGCAAAGCCTAAAGCAATTAAGAGTTCCTCAAAAGACGAGTCAAGAGATGATCACAAAGAAAAAGATTATCCTCATATGAACTACATTTCTCTTCTCCAAAAGGAGTTACAAGAATCAACTCTTGGCTGGCCTTTTCACAGAGGAAGTTCTTTTACAAATCAGCAAGTTTCGGAAAATTCAGAAGCTAAGGATGTAAATTATCTCCCTAATCTGTCAAATATTAATTCTAGCTCAGTTTCTTCTGATCTGATTGAATCGCCAAAGTCAAGGCTTGGTTGGCCTCTTCTTATGATACCACTTCCTCCAACATCTGATTCTTCGACCGTATCCGAAACTGTGAATAACGAGAATCGATCAAACTCCTCTTGCAAGAGATTCAAATATAAAGAGTTGAAGGCTGCAACTTCTTGCTTCTCTTCTGGTAAATATTATTTTCCTTTTTTAGTGTTAAAAAGCAAATAGTTTTAGTCCCTTTGGAATATGCGTTTTCTTCTTTTGATTTGAACAGTTTGATTTTGCTCAACAGAAAATCTTATTGGAAAGGGAGGGTCTAGTAGTGTATACAAAGGACGTCTTCCAAGTGGCAAATCAGTGGCAGTCAAGGTTTTAAAACCCAAAAAGGAAGCACCAAAAGACTTTTCCTTAGAAGTAAATATTGTCTCTTCAATAAAGCACGAACACATTGCGCCTTTGATTGGAATATGCTCGGAAAATGGCCTTCTTATTTCAGTCCATGACTATTACCCAAAAGGGAGCTTGGAACATTGCTTGCATGGTAAGTTATCTTCTTCTATTGACTAGACTTCTTTGTAAAAATTGCATCAAATTTGTAATTTTGTGATTTTTTTTTTCTCTGTGGAAGGTGACAGTGGTAGATCTGTATTGCCATGGGAAGTGAGGTTCAAAGTGGCTATAGGAGTTGCTGAAGCTCTAAATTATCTGCATAACGATTGTCCTACGCCTGTTATTCACAGAGATGTAAAATCTTCTAACATTCTTCTTACCGATGAATTGCAGCCACAGGTACTACGTTTAATACAACCTACATATTTATTTTTCATATATATATATATATATATATATATATATATAATAGAAAAAGATTGCAATAACAGAGAGCAACCTACCCAAATAATCTACATGTCGGAGATTAATTATCATAGTCCCCTTGATCCTTTTTTTTTTTTTTTTTGTTCAAACACCAATAAGTCATGTTATATATTTTTTAAATAAGTTATGCTAAATAAGTATTCTGAAAATTATTTATTGTAGTTGTCGGATTTTGGTTTGGCTATGTGGGGTTCGACGGATTCTGCTAATTCGATACAGAACGATGTGGTGGGGACTTTCGGGTACATAGCTCCAGAATACTTCATGTTCGGAAGGGTCTGTGACAAAATTGATGTGTATGCTTTTGGTGTTGTTCTTCTTGAACTATTAACGGGAAGAATGCCAATTGGTTCCAAGGTTCCCAAAGGACAAGAGAGCTTGGTCAAGTGGGTAAGAACTTTATCATATTCCACTTTTCATGAAAATAAGTACTAGTTGTACTTCTTTATTATCTTACTTATTATGTTGATCTAGGCGAAAAATTTATTAGAGGGAGATGATTATGAAGCGCTGCTGGATCCGAAGTTAAAAGGGGTGTTTGATGTTGCTCAAATGCAGAGAATGGTTTTGGCAGCAACGCGTTGCATTTCACCGTCAGCTCGAGTTCGTTCAAAAGTCAGCCATGTACGCACTAAAATGTTCATTCATATTATTGCGTTGTTTGTTTCACAAGTTTACTAAAAACAGCTAGCATTGTTTTGATTGTCAAAGTAACCAACGCAAAACACTACTTTGTTACAGATACTCAAATTATTAAGAGGTGAGAAGGATGCTGAGAAGTTATTGGATTCTCATTCTTTTGATAATTCAGGTTATCAAAACGATGATGAGCAATTAGAGTTTGGCTGCATGGATCGTCTGCGTTTTAAAATTTTATAAGCGAATACGGACATATCATCAAGTAACAACACATCTCTAAATAATAGAAAAGACCCGTTGTGTTAAATTTAGAGATTTTTTAAATCAACTACTAGATTGATCATATTAGAAGCCGTTTTTTTTTTAATATTATTATCTCATGTTTACTCAAATTTCTAAATGTCTGGTCTAATTATAAAGTGTTATATAGAGATTTTGTATATATATATTCGATCAATAACACAACCATTATATAAAGCATTGAGGAAATAATTCATTATTCTTTTTCGATGTGGAACTACGCATTTAGTGTTTTTTTTTTTTTTTTTTTGGAGGTGGGAACACGCCTTTTTTTTTTTTTTTTTTTTTTTTTTTTTTTTTGGTGTAGGAGGTTCGAACTCCACAACTTATAAGACATGTACCATAACAAACGCTTAGAGGTATAATAAATAGTTTCAGCGCTCAAAAATAATAAGGACGTGGTGGAGTGATGGTTAGGGGCACTCAACTTTTACATTTAGTATGCGTCTATGACTTTTTAGGATATGTATATAACTAAATACATACCTAGTAAAAGCACTTGGGTTCCGTTCACTTTACTGATTTGAGTTTAGAATTTGAGTTTTTCTACAGTAAAAAACTCTCACAAACAATCACATCTAACTTTTTTACTATAGTAAAAAGTTCTCACATAAAATCACATTTCAACTCGAATTTTAAACTTAAATGAGTGAAGTGAACGGGGCTTATAGTATACGTACCGTCGTTTAGCTTACCAATTTTCGTCGTTTATTAGTTTGTCTTTTGTTATCATTCATTTCCTTTTTGTCGTTTCATATTTTGTCGTCATTTTGACTTTGTTTTCATAATATCTTTGATGAAAGACCCTGTTTTTCTTTTAATATGAAATTAGTTTTAAAGCGAATTTCGCGTGGGTTTTTCATTTAAATAAAAAAAGAGAGAGAAAAAAAAACATAAAAAAAAATGAAGATAAAAGTGAGAAAAATATCGAAAATATTTTTATTTTTTTGTGGTTTATATTAGTTCTATTTATTTTGTTTAATTCATTTTTTATTTAATAAGGTCTGGTTTTATTTTATTTTAGTGTATTTTTGTGTAATTTTATTTTTATTCATATTATTTTTATTTGAGCAATATTAAAATTTTGGTACAAAATGGTGTTAAAACAGACAAAATCAGACCACAAATTAGTTCAAAATAAATAAATATAATAAAAAAATAAAATCAGAAATGATTTTGGCCGTCGGATGAAGCTTATCATCACCCTTGATGCGTGCATGAGCAATACGCGCAGAAAAGGAGAGTGGGGCAGCAGGCGTGCATCAGGTGGACCCCGCCACAATTCTCAATCAGTCAAGTAAATCGCAAAACATTGCGGTTCTATTGGCCACTTTCCATCAGCATTTAATTCCTTGTATTGTGATTCACGTGAGCTCGCTTTTTCCACAAATACTATTTGGACACACGGTAAAATAAAAGGATAAAACATTTACGCAACAGCACGTGTATTCCACCACTAAATAAAACATCCAATTAAAGCTTAACACGTGATACAGAAGAAGACAAGATAACTTAACAAAAACTTTGAATAGTAATTTATGCTTAGATGAATAGTAAGTGCATTCTCCTTTAATATGTAGTTATAGATAAGGTTTAGTTTGAAAACAGTTTTAGGCATGCTTTATGAAACGACAAGAAGGTAATGAACGACAATAAAAAAATGACTACTGGGCTATTGTTAAGCCAAAAAAAAAAAAAAAAAACTAGACGTGGGAGGTTAAAAAACTTCCTGAAAGAAGTGGGTCTATGAAAAATGAATAAAATGTATTAGTAGGAAGTTGGTGAAAAATAACATGAAAATAATCTTTCAAGAGAAAAACAACTAATTTTATTTAAATAATAAAAAAAAAGAGACGTGGGTTGCTTCAAAGGCCTGTATATAGGCATACAGGGGTGAACAAAAAAAAAAAAAAGGACTTGGTTGTGCAGAAAGGTGAGAGAAAACAAAAAAACAAAAGCTTGTTTGGGGAAACGTGAGAAGAAAAAAGCAAAAAAAAAAAAAAAAAAAAAAAAAGTTGCAGGCGCAGCCCGTGCAGGTGTGGAACTGAGAGAAGAAGAAAAAAAAATAGTGTGACGGACGAAAAAAAAAAATTGTGTAGAGAAAGTAGACGTTGGAAGTAGTGAGAGAAGTGTGAAATAATCAGAATTGTCAAAAAAAAAAAAAATAGAAAAATTTGTCATTTACTCGTCTATTTTAATCTATGTTTTGTTTACACATTTTTTTTCTCAAGACAAGAAGCTCATCTGCTATTATTGGCCACATTCATGTTTTAGACATACAGATTCTAAACTTTTAAATCCAGTTAAAAATTATAAGGTTATAAATTTTAAAACTTTTAAAAAATTAAATAGAGTTACAAATTTTTAAACTCTACAAAATTATGAGGTTGTAAATTTTAGAATCTCCAAAAAATCAAATAGAGTTACAAATTTTTAAACTCTACAAAATTATGGGATTATAAAATTTAGAACTTTTAAAAAATTAAATAGAGTTGCAAATTTTAGAATTCTACAAAATTATGGGGTTGTAAAATTTAAAACCTCTAAAAAATCAAATAGAGTTACAAATTTTAGAACTCTTCAAAATTGTGGGGTTACAAAATTTAGAACCTCCAAAAATCAAATAGAGTTGTAAATTTTAGAATTCTACAAAATTGTGGAGTTGTAAAATTTAGAACCTTTAAAAATAAAATAGAGTTGTAAATTTTAGAACTCTATAAAATTGTAGGGTTGCAAAATTTAGAACCTCCAAAAATTAAATAGAGTTGCAAACTTTAAAACTCTACAAAATTATAGGATTGTAAAATTTAGAACATTTATATATGAATCTAACTATAATAGTGCAGTTCAAAATATTATAACAATTTTGAGTCTGACTTATAAAGTGTAGCCCAAAGCAAAAATTAGGGACCACTTACGTGAGGGTCTTATCGTTTCTTGTAAAAAAAAAAAATCAGTCAAAGAACTGAAATAAAAAAATAATAAAAAGGCTAAATAAAAATTTTTACCTTCAGCAACGTGCAGAAAACTATCTGTCTTTTTGAAAAGCAACCAGTTTCTCTCGATTGAAAAATGGCTTAGGTGATGAAAATATAATTGTTAAAGAAATTGATGATTCGGCAAAAAGGAAGGAGAGCAGACTGATTACTTATAGCTCTGCACGCAAATCAAGCTCTGCACGCAAATCAAAATATAATGGCAATTAACGTTTTTTTTCATTCACGTACACACATATACATATGTATATATATCAAAAAGGTTGCCAGATGTGCTTCTTCATTCACTCACGTACCCGTGTATATATATATATATATATATATATATATATATATATATATAAAAGTTGCTAATTTGCCTCCAGATGATGTGATGTTACGTTTGCAATAGCTCATGTGTATATATATATGAAGACGGGAAGCGTGTGCTGGAACTTCGCGTCGGTGGACCGCCCGAAGCCTAAATTTTTTCGGGCTCGAGCGGGCTGGCCCAATTCCCGCCCGTCCAAGCTAGAAATTCAGGTTCGGGCTCGGGCAGCCCGGATTTGACATGTCCACCCTTGCCCGCCGTCGTCTAACCACGTCTAACCACCGTATACCGCCGTCCGCCGGGATTTTTTTGCATTTTTCCGACCAAGCCCGAACTGCCCGACCCGAAAATTGCCTGAAAATTGGGTGTGCCCGAATTGCCCGACCTGAAGCCCGAATTTTTGAATTTTTTGAATTTTGCCAATTTTGCCCGAATTTTTCCCGCCTGCCCGACCCGCCCGAGGTGCCCGAATTACCCGAATACCCGAAAACGGCTAGTTTTTTGAATTTTTACCCGAATTCGGCCCGAAAACCCGAGTTGCCCGAACTACCCGAATTGCCCGAAAACGGCTAGTTTTTTTTAATTTTGCTCGAAATTTGCCCAAAAACCTGAGCTGCCCGAGTTTGCCCGACTGTCCGAACCTGAATTTCAAAAAACTAGCCGTTTTATCCTGTTTTTTTTGAAAAAAAATCATTTTTTAACCCCAAAATTTCCCTATAAATACCCCTCATCCCTCACACATTTTTCTCACACAATCCCTCTCAATCTCTCTCAATTTCTCTCAAGCGGCCCGAGTTTGCCCGACTGTCCGAACCTGAATTTCAAAAAACTAGCCGTTTTATCCTGTTTTTTTTGAAAAAAAATCATTTTTTATGTCTATCAAATTCATCTTATTTTTTTATAATGGATCCTTTTGGTTATAGTGGTATTCCCGTTGATGCCCAACACAATGTAGAAGAAGGGTAATTTCCCACTAATGAGTTTGTTACGCAGCAAATGCAATCTACTAATCCAAGCCATGGTGGACGTACTGGAGGTCGTGGTCGCAATAGTGGGCGTGGAGAAGCGGCAGCAAGTACGACTGCGTCTGCGTCTGCGTCGGCAAGTGTTGCAACCTCCAGGAGAAAATGCAAGCGTACCTCGACAGTTTGGGATCACTTCGACATAATTGACGAGGTGGATAATGAAGGTAACACTAAACATATAGCTCAGTGTAAATATTGTTTATCTAAATTACAAGGCGACACTATTCACGGCACCACACACTTAAGACGACACTCTGAAAAGTGTCTTCAAAAGCTTAGCCAATCTAGCGGACCCGAACTCCGCCAAACACAATTATCTTTTGATCGCGCAACCGGTGGTCTAACCACTTGGAAATACGATCCGCAAGAAGATCGTATGGAAGTTGCGCGAATGATAGCTGCTTTAGATCAACCACTTAGTTTTGTAGAGCATCCTAATTGGCAACGATATATTAAGGTTATACACAATCCTAATGCACAATTCACTTCAAAAACTACTCTTAGGAAAGATTTATTAAAATTATTTAAAAAAGAAAAAGATGCATTAATAAACCTTTTACACTCGACTAGCGGGTGCGTTGCGTTAACGGCAAATATTTGGTCTGCCGTTGCCAATAAAGATTATTTAACTGTAACCGGACATTACTTTAAAAGATTTGATTTAGATAAGAGAATATTAGGTTTTAAATGTGTTCTAGGATCACATAGCGCAGATTTA